TCTCAGCACCACATACAAACAAAGATGTTGTGTCCGCCAATAACTAAAAAATAAATATTAAAATTCTCTCTCTCTCTTTCTCTCTCTCCCTCTCTCCCTCTCTCTTAAAAAAAAAGAAAAAGAAAAGTTGAAGCCATATAGGTGATGTGACGTGAAAGGAGAACGTTTTGCAACCTTAGATGTGTGTTCAGATCTGTAGGGCCAGGTGATTTATATTTTGGCTGAGGTGTAGGGAAGACCTTGCAGAGATAAGCTCACTGTGGTCATCTTTTAACTGTAGGGAGTGACTGACGTACCAAAAAGTAAATTATACAGCTCATTCCGATTTTTAAAGATGGTGATAATGTGCCACATTTTAGATTAGTAAGTGTGATAGTGTGATATGCATCCATAATAATAAGTAATTCATGAATACATTCTCATTCAATCCCTGCATAGAGAAAAGTTTTCTGTCCTCATTCCATTTTACCCCTTTTCCAAATTAAGCACTGTGGCTCATGCTGTCCTTGTGAAAAGATTTGGCTATGTCAGAGTACAATTAGGGAATGCTGCAGCTGATTGAACAATGGAACCCAGAAAGTATTGCCACCAGAGCTCTTGTGACATGTTTTAGGCATCTGTGCTTGATTTGTCTTTTTCAACCTTATCATTAATGACTTGGGTGAAGATACAAAATGGAAGTTTATAAAACTTATTTGGGACATAAGCTAATATATTTGAATTCAGAGTGATCCCAATAAACCTGAATTCCAGACTAAAGCTCAATAAATTCATTTGTTAAATATTTATGAAGCTCTTTACTGTGTTCAAGAAATCATGATGCAGAGAGAGCAGAGATACTGCCCCTGCCCACAGGAAACCTTCTACTAACTGGGGGAGATAAAAATACAAAAATATTTATAATACAAAGCAGGGGAAGAGGAGTATGCTGTTTAAGTTATATTAACTTCAGGCTGTAGTAATAGTATGTGAGAAATAATTTCTGACTGGGATGACCAAGAAAGATATCTAAAGAAATAACTTTCATACTGGAGCCAAAGAATGGATAGGTGTCTATAGAGATGGAAAGTGAACAATTAGTGGTAGTCTGGGTTGGGGATGGAATTGGGAGGTGATAACTTAAGGGTATGGAACTCCTTTTTTGGGCTAATTAAAGTGATCTAAAATTGATTGTAGATATGGTTGCACAATTCTGTAAAGACACCAAAACCCATTGAATGATGCACTTGAAATGGATGGATTGTGGGCTGAAGATATGGAGTAGTATAGTGTCTGCCTTGCATGCACAGGGCCCTAGGTTGAAACCCCAGCATAAGAAGGAGGAAAAAAAAAAGGAGTGAAGGAGTGAATTGCATGTGGAAAGTGGGTCTTATCTCACCAAAGCTATTAATAAAAATATAGAGAAAAAATATAGAAATGATGATTGTGATGACTAGTGCATTTTAGGATCCATTCGTTTCTGTGAGTACATTTGGTCTGTGACATCTGCTCAGTTCTTCCTTGTGTGCATCATTCTCTCAGTGATGGACACCCAGGTTACCTGGACCAAG